TATTTTTATATAAACAACAAAAATCAATTACGGAGTTATTATTTATTTATAGTATTATGATATAAATATAAATTATCATAATCGCTATACGCTACATCACTCTTGTGACATCTAGTAAGCGAAAAGGGAACTACGTTTGCAACATGACAATAGATGATACAGCGAGATATCTATGTGTAATAAATACCAGACATATTAGACGAGCTATGGACATCAAACGGAACTTTGACTAAGGATAGGATAATATTAGACCACAGACGAGGTATATGAATAGACAATATATTTATAATATTTATAATATTTATATATATATAATATTTATAATATTTATATATATATAATATTTATAATATTTATATATATATAATATTTATAATATTTATATATATATAATATTTATAATATTTATATATATTTATAATATATTTATTCAGCCACGATTTTGAGAGCCTTAATCTCATTATCATTTTTGTATCACATCCAGTCGTACCGATTCAAGCAAGTATTGTATCGCAGCACTACTAGTAATGAGAATTAAAATTAAAAAATATGAACAGTGTTGCCAGTTCTATTTCGAGAATTATTTATTGAATTAAACGTAGTTGCACTTCATTAACGAAGGATTGATGAAAATTGGGATGAAAAATTTAGTATATATTTGACTATTAACATCTATTTAAAAGTGTTAGGTTGATATATTACAAATGTCGACGAGCGTACAATAGCAACCAAGGTTGGTAATGTATGTTTGCGTGTCATGTGAATGTTGTGTATTGAGAGTTAGGAAAAACAGAAGAAGAACGAGTAGTAGTATGGAGAGTGTATCCAGAGTGTAAAGAGGAAAGAAACGCTGTGTGCTAAGAAACAAAGTAATTTCTCAAATTGACGCTTTTCTGAATTATTTTCCCAACAAAAAGTATTAGAAAAAACTGATTGAAAGCACTTATAATGCCAATCAGTGTCAACTTATAATGAATGGAACAATAAAAACAACGCAATTCTACATCCTAACCACACACACACATACATGTGGAAAATAAGTCGTGCAAGATACTCTGTCAGTTGCTGAGAAATTTTTTTATAAAATTACAAACTATGGTCATCGTGCTCAATGTTTTTCACACACCCAAATAGCACCTGGGCACGTGAGTGACAGATCCTGACAACACGGAAGTTGATGAACTATTGCATCTTTTTATTTCAAACTGTAATGAGTCTACTCTTTCAGAAATGCAAGATAATGAGGAAAATGAACATGAATTTATTAAAAAAGAAATACAATGAAATCTAATAATTGACTGAAACAATCAGAGTCAAATAATTGTCAATCTAAATTAAATATTAATAGAAATAACCTCAGGCGACTTCTCATCAAAGCACATTTTCGAAAATGCGAAAGTAGTGTTCAAACTTGTTGTTTTGATTAAAAAATCTGCCTGTCGCGAAATATCTTCTTGTACATAAAATTTCATACATTTTTCTACGGAAAAAATATTCTAATCTGCTATACTTTAAATCCCATTGAAGTTCATAATTATAAATTCAATTAATTAAATTATTTAATACTGTTAATATAACTTCCTATTATAAAAAGGAAGATGAAATTGAAAATTATTAATTATTAAAACAAAATATATTACCGGTATCAATAAGTAATAATTGCATCTTTCGCAGCAATGAAGTCAAAAGGTATTCGTCTTCTCTATTATGAAATGTTCAAACAAAATCGTTTTAATAACGATTATTCATAAATATTTGTAATTTATCTATTCACATGGATGTATTACTTTTACGAACATTTAAATTGAAGATATTTTGATTTTATAAATAATTACTATATATATATATATATAGTAATACAGGTATTTTTTATATTTTTGAGCAATAACATTTTTTTGAAGTTTTTTTATATATTAAATCAGGATATATATATATATATATATATATATATATATATATATATATATATATATATATTCTAATTGTTAAAATCGCGATGTGCAAGAAGCCTTATCCTATTTTAATATATAAAAAAACTTCAAAAAAATGTTATTAGTCAAAAGTATAAAAAATACCTGCGATCACTATGCTCGAAAAATTCTACATATACAATCAGTCACCCGATTCGGATTCTTTTGCTCTAGGACATGATTGAGTGACCGAAGAAACATAAGTGCATGCGACTCACGCGACAGATGTGAAGAATCCTCGATGCTGCACTGGAACAGGGAAAGTTATCGTGAAGTCTCCCATCAAGTAGATACCATTTGCCATGATGGTAATGGACGCGTGAAAAATTTCTAAAAGAAACAACATTTTGTTTCTAAAGACACAGTGTTATTTGTCAAAATTTAATGATGATAATAATAAAATTAGGACTAATAATATGAAATATTTTTTATTTTATAATTATAATTTTACATTCGACTTCAATAGAAATTATAGAGAATAGAATTCAAGTACAATAAGCTAAAGTACTTACATTTTTAGCTTTTAAAGCATCATAAAATCCTTAGAAAATTAGAGTATGTGTAGAAGATCTATCTAACAAAACGTTAAACGTTAGAATTTATATTTCAAAGCAAACGAAATCTTAGATTGGAGATAATGAAAGATTCTTACATTCTTGACTTCAGAGCTACCGTTGCATTTTCCCCAAAAATCACAAAAAAAAGATAATGTTGATGTGAAGCGTCTGTGAACATAATGATGAACATTATACTTTGTTGTTAAATTTGAAAAATTGAATAAATTGAAGTACAATATATAAAACTACTTACGATCTTGATCTCCTGGAGAAACCTTATTCTCTTGAACATTGACTCTAATACCGAAAACGAGTATGAAACAAGAAAAGATATAAGAAAAGAAAAATAAAAGACTGTCAACGCGCACGTTTAAGTAACAATCGGCGAACTCACTGACTCTAACTTCGCGAATTATAATTTAAATGAATTATTTAATTTAACAATTTTGCTCAGAAAAATACTTTGCAACAAACACTGACTCTATCGACCGCATTGCGCGCGGTCACAAAAACTGTCTGAAAACAAAGCTGATTAGTAAGAAAGGGGGAAAAGGATACGTTCATTTAGAAAATACTACTATTTCTGTAGAACATGATTATAAAGAAACTTGGATATATATATTAAAGATGTTAACTGTAAATGAACAATTATTGTATTCTGAAACTGTGTTCTGAATGTTCGTTATTAGAGTAGGAAGTACACACATTACATCATGTAGCATGTTATAAATATTCGAAAATGTTTGTACAAATCATAATTTCTAACGCTAATTCAAAATTAGCTAAATATATTTAAGAAGGAATAGAGAAATAAGAAACTCGTGTGAAATCTTGTTTTGAACCGTTTCAATTTCGAGTTAACATTAGAAAAAAGCAAGTACAGTATAATAAAGTACATATAATACAGCGAAGTATGGAAACTTTGAATTTGATAATTTAATAGAAGAACATTTGATAGCATATGTATACCGTTAAGCCAAATAAAATATTAATTAATTTAATCTTTTTCATTTTCATCTTTGTATTCCAAATAATTATGAAATTACGTATTGTGAATTATATCTCAAATATATATGAATTGTATACCAAATGTTATCCAAAATGAATAAAATATTGCCAAATTTTCGTAAAAGTTCATCAAATTGTTCATTAATGATCGTGGCATCTATTTGTTTTATGCTAACTCTGTAATCAAGCACACGAAAGTATGTGTGTAAAAGCATGTAATAAAATATGTGCATATATACACAACACACACACACACGCACACATATATAACAATAAGTTAGTCAAATTACAAGGTCACAATATTTGTTAGAATACTGGTTAGAATTGAAATTAAATTTTGGTATAAAAATTATAAATAACTTTTAGCACGATATCTTCTATTATTATAATATTTATATGCTATTATTTCTTCAATTGTTGGAAATTGTGTGTAATAATTATTTGGTTAAATCTTACTTTAAGTTGAAGCCAAAAATGCACGTTTTATCTTCAAAATTTATAACATAAACACAAATCTACAACTATTGATTTAAATTTTTTAATCTGAAAACTTGTGAATGACACTTCCTCTTGGATGATTTTTCTGAATAATACTTTCTCCTTTACAGGTGAGATGTGCTCCTTTCCGCCATGTTCCCCGTTTAAAAATCGATCGTCAGAAATATCGATTACGTTCGAGAATCGTAAGAAGCGTGTTATGTATTTCACCGTGTAGCAGCGCTGTAATCTGTAACTATGTAGTAACTATGATGATAAATATATTAATACCACAACACTACAAATAAATAATAACTCCGTGATTAATTTTAGTAGTTTATATAAAAATATTATCGATGTAACAAAATATATAATTACTAATGATAAATATCAAATAACGAAGATTAAATAATGAAAGTTAAACAACGAATGAATAATTAATATGATGATTGCAGTATATATAAGTTTCTGTAAATATATTGTCCATGGTGACAATAAAATCACTAACAATTTTTAAATATTCTATTGTTTATACACATCTCGACGGAACGATTCAACATAGATGTCGCTGATCCAAATTCCTCGAAGTAGAGGTCGCTACAACTTATTTAAATCCAATATGCACGTGTTTCGAACGAAATTAACTCGGGATAAAAAGTAACAATACTTGTGGAAATATTTATTTGGTACGTCCAATTCTCTATATAAAATAAAGTGAAAATACCTTATCAATCAATTTTTTTGTAATATTTTTAAACAGATGTAAATAATCAAGTGTCCAATAAATTATTCGTCCCAACTTTCATCAATCCCTGTTGCGAATCGTTATATATTTTTTTTATATTCTTATTTTATATTTCAAATTCTTATTATATTTATATTCTTTTACTGACGAAGTGTCATTATTTCCCAATAGATTATTCTCTAGTGAATATGACTCGTCCTTCAATGTACTAGGACAATGTATACACGTGAACGTTGCCACAAACTTCGATTTAAGTAATTATTTATGTAGTATGTAAAAATGGAACAGTTGAAGGAAATTAAACAAATTATATCAAGTTAAGTTGATGAATATATTTGTAAAATGTTATTTTTTTTTTGTTTAAATTAAATTACTTTGTACAAATTTAAATAGAAAATATATCGCTTAAATAATCAATACACAATATGTTATTATAGCTAAAGGAACGATTACACCGGATATTTGAGTTATATTATCTATCCAATAGAACCTGAAATAAACAAAAATATCACTATTCAAAAAAATATACAAAAATAATAATATTATAATTCTATATTGTATTATTATAATATTATAATAGTATTATAATTCTATATTGTATTATTATAATATTATAATAGTATTATAATTCTATATTGTATTATTATAATATTATAATAGTATTATAATTCTATATTGTATTATTATAATATTATAATAGTATTATAATTCTATATTGTATTATTATAATATTATAATAATATTATAATTCTATATTGTATTATTATAATAATATTATAATTCTATATTGTATTATTATAATAATATTATAATTCTATATTGTATTATTATAATATTATAATAATATTATAATTCTATTGTTTTTTTTACACCAAGATATTTCTATACATACAGTGATAAACGTCGCGCTGCGTTTACAGGATCAAATTTTTCCTTCGTAATGAATTTTACAATTCCTATATGGTAATTTTTTATATATTTTTCCTAATCCATATTTCGTAAATCCAAATTCACTTTACTGCTGTCTTTCAACACTTTTATATCCTCCGCCATCTTACAAACGTTATCTCTATGAAAAGTCCATTCGCGCATAGTGAAGTATATTAACGTTGTAAGCAGCTTATTGAAACGTTTATTAATTTTCATCATTCTGAAATGCCATTTTTAAAATATCGTTCTCCTAGCTTGCGATTACATATCGTTCGACAAACAATAGGACACTTACATTGGTTTCTTACCCCGAACTTTTAAAAAGATATCCATAACAAATGCAGGTAAAACATTCAAGAACATATTCAAAATACCGTAAACAATTTCGTTGTCTATCATTTTGCTATACGGATACCATAATACATCGTTCATTGGCGTTTCTACGCTACATTTCAGGTAAATATTTATCAGTTGATCCCACCTTGGAAAATGAAATATTTATGCTTGTTTAAATTAATAGAATTATGTTTAAAATAAAGAATATTTTTATTGAAGTATCCCAGAAATTAATTTTCATTATTTTTCTCTATTTGCAACTTGAAAACTAATGTGAATACAAACACAAAGTATTTAGCAGATTTCGGGAAGGAAAAGATATTTTCTATAGTTAATAAAGTGTCTTGGGGTAAATCAAGTGTACAAGCCCATATTCAGATAAAATATGGGCTTGTACACTTTTGCGCTCAGTGTCTAAATTTTCATCATCGTTGCAATGATGTGTTTTTGACTTGTGAGCTCCAAATGAATTCTAAATCTTTGTGACACACTTCAAAAGTTGACGAATAAATATTACCTAAGAGGATCTGCGTTACTCGTACAGTTATACACTTCGTTATCACGATGTAGGGTGACATGCCACGCAGCACACAGTACCGTGTCGACGACGTAATCTACAGGTACTAAATCTAATTTTGCGTCCTTCTTGACTGGTAATGCCTTTATATTACCTTTACCAATTTGTAGACTCACGGCTGTAACGTTAAATTAATTAGAACATCATTACTCTCAATTCCTAAAATATATTATCCAAAATATAAGCATACATTTTTTGATTGTTTTCTTTCTTGTGAAAGATAGGGAAAATCTTATATAACGTTAAGAATTAATATTATTTGAAATATAATTAAAGAATCAATGAAGTTTGAATAATTATCACGATTAAGTATACGAAAGTAGACAAACTGAAATTTCCTAATTTATATCAAAAGTGTACTAATAATTTTTCGTAGGTAATACCTGTAATTCCTTGGACATTATCCAGCCAACCAGGACACGGCTGTTCCAAAGAAGCACCAATTATACTTGGCCGTACTACTGCAGATGGAAAACTTTTGCAATCATTGAACACAATCTGCTCTGCTAGATTCTTCGAGAATGTATACGTGTTTGGATGAGTTTTCAAAATTGTTTCTTCTAATAATTGAGTTTTTATCTTGTTTGTCGCAGATGTCGGTTACCGCAGAAGGTTCCCAACTTGTGCTGTGAAATTATTAATGAGAAGTAAACTTGCTTGTTCCGTACTAATTGTATTATAGTTATTCATTTTTTATGCAATAACGAAGTATTTGAGGAAAAGCTTTTGTGTAATTTAATCTTACGTG